AATCCCCAGTTGGTGGATGAACTTAAGCCTTCCCTCCTTTGCACGTGGCTGTTTAAAAAGGGGGTAGGACCCCTCTCTGCAAAGGCAGAAGGGATATTTTGCTGAGCTGCTGTGAGGGAAGGTTTAAAACAGGGGTCTCAAACATGCAGCCCAGGGGCCATTTGCGGCCCGCCGGATGATAGTTTGTAGCCCCCGCCTTGCCTGCCCCCCCCCGAAGCACCCATGTGGCCTCTGTTGTCAAGAGTAAAAAAAAGCCTCGCCTCGCTTGCAGGCTCTCTGCCAAGACAGCACCTCTTGCACCCTCCATCCAGAACTGCAGCCTGCCAGCCAGCTTGGGGGAGAGCCAGCGAGTGAGGCGTGCTTCCGGCCCTTTTTGCTGAGCTCCTGAGCCGCCGCCGAGCGATGCCTGAGAGCGGAGCTCACTCCCAGCCCATCCTCAAAGAGCACCTCCAACAGCAGCTGCCACCGCCACCTCTTCCAGGGAAGCGGCTCTGTGGCTCTTTCTCTCTCGGCACCCCTAGCACCAGCCTGGCCAGTGGTTGCCTGAGCGCCCAGTGGTGCTTCCTCTTCCTGCTTCCGCCGCCTTGGCTCTGGAGGCTGCTTGGGCTCACCTCGCAAAGTTTGCTCCTCTGTTGTGGTGGGGGTAGCTGCTGCTGCTGAGTGCACCTTTTTTGAGGGGGAGCTCAGAGGAAGGTTGGTGGACCTCTCTCTCTGTGTGTGTGTGTCTTTATGTGCATGCCTGCATGCACCTGTGTGTGGGGCTGCCCTATTCTGTTTAATTTCACGGGTACCAATGGGGGCTTTTCTCCTTTGCCAAAGCGATTCTGTGAGGGTTTTAATAAAAATTTATGCCGTGCCCTCCTCCCCCCGGCTAGGCGATTGCCGGCACTCCCTCCCTTCTCCGCTTCTTTGTCCCGCTGGTGGTGGTACTGAAGGAGCCAGAGGGGTTTGTGGCTGGTGACGAGGGCTCGCACGCTCCTCCTCGGAGCCCCAGTTGGGCTAAGGAAACTCCTGGGCAGCTTCCTCGGGCTCTTGCTCCACTTGGCGAAAAATCTGATGGTCCCTAGCCTCACCCAGACTCTGCCTCCAGCAGCCCCCAGGTAAATTGAGTTTGAGACTCTTGGTTTAAAACCTCCACATTTGCATGAAGTCCTGATCTGAATCAGGCCACCAAACCCTTACTTTCAAATAAATAAAAACAAACGGAAGATAAAACAGCAAGCTGTATGGTATATAACAAGCTAGCAAGCTGTTTGACTTTTAAGAATCCATGGAACCATGGTGAGGATAAAAGAACGGGACTGTGCAATTAAGAGACAAAGCTGGCCATATTCAGAAGGACAGGGATAATATGCCGCCTAGAGTGGTCTATTGACTAGATAGGCGGGATATAAAATAAACAAACAAACAAACAAACAAATAAAATGTGTGCCATCAATTTGATTCTGAGTTATGACCATTTCAAAGGTTCTTGGGGACAGAGTACTCAGAAGTGGCTTACCATTTCCTTCTTCTGGAAACATCCTGGGATTGGGTAGTTTCCTCATGGCCACACAGGTTGGCTCTTCTACTAGAGGGAGAAATCAAGTTCCCAACCCCTGGCTCTGCAGCTAGGTGTTCTGAGCCCTTGAGCTATCCCTATTATATTATTATATAATAATATAATAGTAATAATAGAAAATGATGGTTCTGAGACAGGATTAACATGGCCAGAGATTGTATGGATGCTTCTTTAAAACACTCCACCTAGTATCTGTATCAATTAATCCATTATATGCACATATCAATTAATCTGGGTGTTGTGGCCGTTGCCTATGACTCCACCAAGTCACCATCAGCACCTGACATTCAATATAATAATATAATAGTAATAATAGAAAATGATGGTTCTGAGACAGGATTAACATGGCCAGAGATTGTATGGATGCTTCTTTAAAACACTCCACCTAGTATCTGTATCAATTAATCCATTATATGCACATATCAATTAATCTGGGTGTTGTGGCCGTTGCCTATGACTCCACCAAGTCACCATCAGCACCTGACATTCAAGGACAGCTGCTGGGACCCCAGTCCTCTAGCACAGCCTTGCAGTGCCTGTTTCCTTGGATCTTCACACAGAGCAACTGAGCCTGTAAATCTCTATTTTAACTTTCCCCAGTAACTGAGGTACATTTGAGGAAGTGCACCAGGACATAGCTCTCAATCTCCCTTGGAGTGTCGTTTTCACCACCGCTGATGTCTAGCAAGCTTGGAGATAGCCTAGCAATTTCATTTGTGGTCATGTGCTGTCAAGACACTTCCGACTTATCGCAATGCTCTGAATTAGTAACTTTCAAAAGATCTTTCCATTAATCACTCTATCATTAGCAACACCAAAGACCCTTCAGGGAGTCAATCTTTCTCATACTTTATCTTCCTCTTTTCTTACTGCATTCAACTTTTCCTAGTATTATTGTCTTTTCTAGTGTAAGCTGTAATTGCCAATTAAAAGATCTAGTCCACAGCATTCAGATGAATAACTTAGGTACACAGAAGACTTTTTCCCACAAGGGAAAGACTTCATGGCACACATGCCAGCTTCATAATAGCTCTGGTATCATTGAGTAAATTATTTAACTTATGTATCTGTCACTGAATATCAGACTGTGCTAAATGCCTGTCACAGAAGTAGCATACAACCATACCTGTTGTGGAAAGAAAACCAATACACTTAGCTACTTCCATCCTATTTAGTCTTTTCAACACAAGCCTTGATTCACAGCTTCGATTTCTTTCTGGCTATTCTCATACTGCAAGACTAACATCTAAGTCTGACAACTGTATGGAATGTTATGTTAGGCAAAACCCACTCAGAAAGACAAGAATACTGGCCATGTGGGGATGAAAACCTCTGCACCTTTATAGATTACTACAACAATAAGAAATCCAGGTCAGAGAAGCAACAGCGCCACCACCAAGGGGGTAACAATCAGACCAAATAAGTGTTGGTTTCCACTTGGAGGAAAGCAAAGCATCGTTGCATGAAAATCTATAAAGGTTTCATCTTTTTGAAGTCTGGTAACTGGCAGGGGAGGAGGGGGGCTACTGAAGCCTGGCTGTATTAAAAATAAGAAATACATCATACAGTGAAAATTATTATCTTCTGTCAGTGAAACTGCTTTCAGTGACACTCATAAAAGTGTTCCTGAAACTGAATCCCTAAGGTAGTGAATAACCTGCAACTGAAAGTTAACTTTGCTTGCAGTCTTTAACTGAAAAACCCCTTGTGTAACAGAGAAAGCAGAGCTGACTCTTTGACCACTGAATGAGTTGTTTAATTAAAAAAAAATCTGTTTCAATATTACTCCTTTATTAATGTATAGGAATGAGTAAACAACAAAAAAACGGAGAAGTGGGCCTTGAAGGTTTAAAAAGAAGAACCTATATACTGTATTCTAAATTTTAAAAATAAACCACAGATAAACATTTTAAATAATGAAGGCTATGAAGCAAAATGTTGGTATTCAACAGGCCTTTGACTTCTGTATTGTGTTCTTTCCCTTTTGAGTTTGGTTTGTTGGGGCTGCCACTGTGGTCAGCACCATCCCTGACAATGTTTGTTCCACACACATTATGAAGAGCTTCTCCTTGGGAAGCCAAAATGCACCACCACCTCCTGCACAATGTTGATCTTCAGGCGACGGCATTAAAAAAAAAAAAACACTTTTGAATGTATGGGAATTCATTGCATCTGTTCCAATTCTTGCTAGGCATGACATTGCAGAGAAACATGTCAATTTCTTTCTAAACTGAACTTGTTCTGTCTGAAATTCTGAGAGTTAAGGTGGAGAAACTACAACCACCCAAGTTTCCCAAAAGCACTAAACTGTGTGCAGTAATAAGGTCCCTCCTCAAATCATCCTTTCTCTACTGCCAAAAAGTTTTAAAAATACTTCATTGGCACAGATGGAGACTTTTTAAAAGCCTAACTACAGGATGTATATGAGAAAGATGGATATTTACATTGGGGAGCATACAGGAGCAATGGGATGAGGCTGCTCACTTCTGGCATGTACCCCAAAAACATCTTCACTGTTTCTCCATGGGGATTGCTTGAAGACTGCACAACCTAGCAGGACACTCCTTTGTGTAAGTCCCACTGAAATGAAAGATGTGAAACTAAATGCCCTATACTGTTGTCCCACTTGAACTTGTTTCAATGGAGCTTGTGCAGGAAAACACTGTGCAGGATTCTGTGTTGTATGTGTTGAGTAAATTGAGACAAGTACATATAAACGTTTGGCAAATGAAGGAACACTCCAGTCCAGTTCATGCAGTACTTTAGCAGTATGGTAGCCAGTGGTTTGGAAGAGATGGTACAATATGCGTGAAGCATGACAGGGCTGTGTTTAACTAGGCTAGCTAATCATTTGAAACCAAGGCAAAATGCAGAAGATTCAGGGGTTAGTTCACTATATATACAGGACTATGTTGTAAATACTATGCTATGATATTTTGGAAAGTTCTAATATACTAATGGAAGTACTATAATACTTCAACTGTGAAAGAGTTTAGAATAGATCAAAACCCCTACATGTGACTGTACTGTGAACTGTGTGTATAATGAACTGATCCGTATAAGTCATGATATAGCCAAGTTGTAGCACAGTTGTAGCACTTACTTCACAGAAGAGGTCTCACATGATACCATTTACTGATGGTGCTTCAATAATGCAAGAACTGTGTCTCGTTATTTCACACACCGACAGCATTATTTTCTTGTTTTAAGTCAAAAGGCTGTACAGTACTTTTCAACATGTCTTACCCCTTTAAAGCAGAATTATATGTATCCTACATATTGTAAAGTGTATGTACTATTTCTTAAATACAGACATGAAACTTGCTTCAAATATCCTTAATCTGAAAGTTCGCTTTGTGTACAATTAGGCAAGACTGCCTCTTCCAAATAACCAATTCAGACGAATTGACAAGACAAACACACACTTCTACTGCTCTCATTCATTTACATTTTGGTTGCTTTTATAATTAATTGCACTGCACAGTATAGCCCTGAAATAAGCTTTGCACATTATGAGCTGGAAATGATTTTCCACAATCTAGTCTTTGGTTTCTTCTTCAGCATTGCTGCATTTTTCCATATCAGAGACATCTTCATGCACTGGAGGTGAATCCATCCCAATATTCTTTCCTTTCCTCAGAGCCTTCAAACACTTGTCAAGCCTTTTCAAGAACATGTCTACGTCTTCCTTCTTCATTCCTATGGCTGAAGCAGCATTGAGGTATGCACAATGGTATTTATTTGCATGGGACATGAAGCTTTTGAAAGTGTAACCGCTCACTGTTTGGGCAGTCCCAAGGGAAACCACCCTGAAAACAAAGATAAATATACAAAAACATCTGAAAAAGTGGAGAACCTGAATTATGAACAACCTCATACCAAAACCCAGCAGGAACAAATGCAGAATGTCTCATATTTGATCCCTATTTGTCCAAGGCTGGAAAAACTCCTACATGAAATCCTAAAAAGCTGCTACCAGTCAGAATTGGCAATATGGGCTAGATGGACTAACAGAGTGACACAGGGTGAAAGCCGGTTCTGGTAACTGAAAGGAAATGTAACCCATGAGGCCTGTAATTCTCCAGGTACCTGCTTGAGGATATACCGCACTACAGTGGACCCTCTACTTACAGACGCCTCAACTTACAGACTTTTCAAGTTACAGACTTCTCTGGCCGCAAAATTTAGGTTCGGCTTGCAGCCAGAGAATCGACCTACAGACCAGAAAAAAAGCAAAATGGAACAAAAACAGCCGGTTACGGGATTAATCGGTTTTCAATGCATTGTAGGTCAATGGAACCTCGACCTACAGACTTTTCGACCTGCAGCCACAGTTCCAATGCAGACTAATTCCGTAAGTAGAGGGTCCACTGTAAAGTCAATGGGACTTACTTTTGAGTAAAAATGCATAGGGTCAGGAAGCACACGATCTCTGCCCTAACAGATTCTGCCCCTTTTGCAGTCATTTAGTGACAAGAAGGCATTGTCCACAAAGATTTTGATTCACTGTATTTCTGAATTTCAGGCAATAACAAAAGCACTTACCTTGCTCCAGAAACTTGTCTGGTGAAAAGCATTGATCCAAGCTGTGTAACAGCTGCATCACTTTGTTCATCTAGCTCTTTGAGGGAAATTGCTGAAAGTATATGCACTATGTTAACCTTGAACTTATTATATAATTATTGCTGACTACAAAAACATGTTCTACCATGGCAATTTTTAAGTTTGGGAAGCATTACCTAAATTAAAAACCAGAATATATGGTTGCAGAATATATATAAAATCAAAGGCAAACAAAGCAAACACTTTTTAACTTGTGATGTTCCATATCTTAATACAGTGTCAGTGCAGATATCATATGTAAGATTTAACAAAAGCAGTTGAACAAGTTAATTAAAACAGCAGCAAAATCTGAAACGCAGAACAAGAAATAAAAATGGAAAACCAAAGAAGTGTCACAGATTGAATTAATTTGTAGAAGTTTATGATAACTAGATTTCAAAAGAAAAAAAAATTTACAGAGTTCTACAAGGCAATGAGACGTTCCAAGAGAAACATACCGTATTTTTCGCTCCATAAGATGCAGTCCCCCCCCCAAAAAAGTGGGGAAGAAAGTATGTGCGTCTTATGGAGCAAATACTATAAAAAAGGTTTCAGGCACCATCACCCAGAAGCCTCCCACCACCATGATGGGAAGCCTCTGAACTGGCACGAGAGGCTGCTTGCTGTGGCAGCCACATTAGACCTCACCATTCTGCCATCTACACTGCTGGCTTTCCAGGATCTGCCTCCTGGAATACCAGCAGGGCCAACAGGCCTATGGCAGCAAATTTAAATGGCAGAGGGCAGTGAAAACGGGCAAGGAATAAAGGGGAAAGAGTGATTCTAAAAAGACTAGGGGAAATCACAAATGCTGTCCCCCACTACCACAAATTAGGCAGTTGATTTTCCAACATTTAGGGAAATCACAGGGATTAGCACACCTAAAGTGCAATGGATGAGCCTTACCCTGGGAAAACCACTTTTATTATCATGGTATCTCCCCTGCCAGGTATGAGTTTGAGTGGCCCCTGCCCCTCCTACCCCCTTCTGTGTCCTGAGGGGTCAGCACATCCAAAGTGCAATAGATGAGCCTCACCCTGGGAAAACCACTTTGATGATCATGGTATCTCCCCCTGCCAGGTATGAGTTGGAATGGCCCCTGAACCTTGTGCCCCTTTCTGTGCCCTGTCTGCCAAAGGCATGGTGACCCCCCCGGCTGCACCTCCTGATCAGAACAGGCCCACTCCCGAAAGAGGCCAAGAGAGCTACTCAGTGTTTTGGGGTGCCCCACAGGACCCCCATCAGGGGCTGGAATGTTCCTCCCACAATCCTCCAGTGCACAGATATTAGCATACCTAATGCGGGGAAGGCAGGAAAAGCTGGGAAATTCAAACTTTCAGTTAGTGAAGAGGCTGCTTATCTGCTTCCTTGCTAGTCCAAGCAGTTAGAGAGCTGGGAGAGAGACCCGGGACTGCCTGGTATTGTCATTTTAAAATGTAAAATTTAGTTTAAAAGCTGTTTGTTTGGGGTTAGTGCTTGGGTGAAAAGGTGCTCCGTTTGAGTTGAAACCTGCTTGTGTAGAAACATGCATACCAGTACTTGCTTTAAAAGCTGCCTAAGAAGCCCTTCAGACCAGCGCTCATCAGCTGTTAGGTGGAGAGAGGGGAGGGAGCAGGAGCAGGAGCCAGAAGAGCACAAAATGGCTGCCGTCTGCCAGCTGCCTGCTGGCTTTTAGCTGTTTGGTGCTCTTTTTCGGCTGTTAGGCACTGTGAAGAGCCGGGCTCAGTCTACAGTACCTGGTAAGTGAATTTCTTTTAATTTTTTAAAAAGTTTCTGACCTTTTCCCCCCCATAAGAGTGCATTAATTAATTTTCAATGCATTTCCAAGGGAAAATTTGGATTCGACTTGCAAACTTTTCAACTAGTTCTGGGCATCTAATAGAGAATGTATTTCCAAAGGGTGTTGCAGCAAGGAAACTAACTGTGCCTCGTGACTTCTAACTGGATTATAGTACCTGCTTCCTGATTTCAGCTACTATAGTTTGTATTCAGGTTTTTTTTTTGGCTCACCAAGAACATTGTTCCTGGCTTTGTCTTGAATAACCTGTTGTGCCTTGCATGCTATAAATGTTCAATCATGTCAGAAAACCGAAATTTGGTCTTATGCTGAGTATGTGCTACTGCTGGTGAATGGGATCAGGTTAAGCTTTGTGTTGCTGCTCTTTTGCATAACCTAAAGTAAATAAGGAAAACTAGCTGTTAAATAGTTTAATTCCACTATTTAACCTCCACACAACTAAAAGGGACCTCTCAATGCAGTGCCAAATCAGACAAACCATTTCTAACTTAGCATAGGTTTGAGCTGTAGTTGGCAGAGTTGCACAACAATCTAATCTGTCATCGAGACATTTCTATAAGCATGGGGAGGAGGTGGGTGAAAGGAAATGTAAAATATAGGGAGTGTGGTATAGGTCTTATCACTGGCTGATAATGGTCTATATGTACTTGACTTGAATTTATGGTACACAAATTTATGGTACATAAACTAGAGTACACAAACCTTTAGGTCTCTCCATTTGTTAATGACAGTGGTAATGGTTCTTAATGCCACTGTTGACTGCTGTTCACTTTACATGGTTCAAATGTTATTCTGTTATAGTTTATTAAATATTTTATTACACTATTTGGTTCAGAATATTTTTCCTGTGTTCTTCCTCTAAAAATTAGGTGCGTCTTAAGGTTAGGTGCATCATATGGAGCAAAAAATACGGTAATCCAAAACCATAGACTAATAAGGAAAAAATGTTCCAAACAATCACCTGCTTCAGCTCAGAAGGTGACAGGCTTGTACAACAGGGCCTCATATCAATGGATATGTTTGCAAAGAAGGAGGCATTTCAGAAAATATTTTGACCCCAGCTATCTAGGGCTCTAAAGATTAAAAAACAAAGCCTTGCAGCCAGCAGGCATCAAACAAAATAGTATTGAAACAAGATTGTCCATGCAATTAATTCCCATAAGGAATTTCACCACTGCATTTTGTACCATTTTCAGCTCCCTGATATTCTTCAAAATCAGCCCTACACAGACAGCACAGCAGCTGTTAATAGGAACAGTGCACACCTTGACCTTTGCTCTCTCCCAACAAACTTTCCTTGTATTCACAGTAATATATAGTATTAAGTACAGTGGTGCCTTGCAAGACGAGCGCTCCATTTTACGACGAAATCGCATAACGACGAAGTTTTTGCGATCACAAAAGCGATCGCAAAACAATGTTTCCTATGGGGGAATTTCACTTTGCGATGAGCGGTTCCCTGCTTTGGGAACCGATTATCACAAAACGATTTTCCTACATCTGATCGGCGGTTTCAAAATGGCTGCCGGGTAAAAAAATGGCCGCCCGCTGTTTTCTGGGACGGATTGCTCGCTGCATGGGCAGCGAAAATGGCCGCGCTATGGAGGATCTTCGCTGGACGGTGAGTTTCAAACCCAAAGGAACATATTAATTGGGGTTTAATGCGTTTCTATGGGCTTTTTAATTTCGCTTTATGATGTTTTCGTTCTACAGCGATTTCGCTGGAACGAATTAACATCGTAATGCGAGGCACCACTGTATGAGGAAGCAGTGCATGCAGGGCCACAGCACCTTTCAATGTCAAAATAGCTCAAGAGTGTTGCATAGTAATGGACAGTGATTCAATCACTGCCATGCGCAGGCACTGCTCCCACATAATTACAAGCATAAAGTGGTCCAGAAACAGCCACACATTTGACCTATTTATCATATCAGAGCAAATCTGCTGCCACAGAGCAAATACAAAACAAGCTCTTCTCTTCATTATTGTAATTTCTTCTACAGAAGAACAATCATCCCATGATATTGTCATTACCTAAGGAGATAGGATTGTGAGGTGTATCCAGAAGTCTTTCATTGTAGACTTCTGCTAATTTCTTCATTTCACTTGAAAGATACGAAAACATTTCCTAGAGAAAGAATGAGAGAAGGATCAACTGCTTTTGTCTTACATGTTTTTTTACAAAATGTTTCATTCTTTCAATAATGCTAGCAAACATTTTGTATATAATAATTCAATTGGCGAGCTAAAACAAAACCAATAGCAAGCAGATCAAGGTATAAACAAGGTATAAACCTATAAACAAGTGCTCCAAGTAAGAACTGTTGACCATCCTCACAAGCAATATTCTTTTACAGCAGACCTGGGCAAAGTGCAGCCCTCCAGATGTTCCTGAATTGCAAATCCCAACATTACTCACTGTGGGGGCTAGGCCCAAATCTCCTCATTATTGGCTGTGTGTGCTAGGAATTATGGGAGTTGCAGTTCAGCAATATCTGGAGGGCCGCATTTTGCCCCCCCCTGTTTTACAGGCAATATTAGAGAGAGTATAATTGAAGACAGCAAACTCAAAATAGGGAAAGTGAAGAAGGAATTCCTGATAAGTAGAAAGTTCAAAACCAGCTTTCCAAACAATGCAATGACACAAAGAACTAAAGAAAGAGGCCAGGGAAAGTTTCCTCACAAAAGATCAGCACTATGACATTTGAAGAGCAGCCAATTACCCAACTCTCTTAAGGCCCTTGATCCTTCCTCAGCTCTCCTTCTCTCACAAACATCCCCCTGGATTTGGCACAGGTTTCTGCCCCTGCACTGGTCAATTTCCTCAGCAAGGCTAATCCTAGATGCAGCAACTTGCCCAGCTGGGCTATTATGGTAGTTACTTCACAGTAGTAAAATCAACTAATTTAAAGCCAGGTTATTTACAAAAACTGACTACATGTCTGTGGGTTGGCTGAAATGACACGGTGAAACAAGGAGAAATGAAACTGTAAATGCTTGTGATTTATTAGATGACCT